CCATCCAGGCATCAAAGTGGAAGAGACGTTGGGGAAGGCCGTGATCCTTGTGTTGTTCTGATGACCCGCGGTGTCATCCGCACGCGAGTTAACTTTGATTTCCCGGAAGCCAAAAACTTCCGCTTTCGGATTTTAAAGCGAACGATTTCAACTGCCGTGTTTTGTGGAATCACAAGAAGGGTTTGGGTTGATGGAACCTCTAAAGATGATCCAGTCCAGCTCTCCTGCCGCGGGCAGGGACATCTGCCACTGGATTGGGTCGCTTGAAGCCCCATCCGTAGTCATAGAAGCGTTTGGGTTGGAAGGGACCTTCAAAGATCCATGGGCAGGGACGTCTCCCACTAGCCCAGGTTGCTCCAAGCCCCGTCCAGCCTGACCTGGAACGTTTCCGATGACGGACCAGCCACAGCTTCTCTGGGCAACCTGCTCCTGTGTCTCACCACCCTCACAGCTTCAGGAGCAGTCATTAGGATTGTCCCTCTCTCGAGGCGCTGTACCCTCCGGGGGGGACTTCTTCATGTCGGCTGATGCTTGGGGCGCCTCTTCGAGGTTTTAGCTGGATCTCTCTGCCCTTTTTTTTTTTTTTTTTTGGTTTGTTTTTTAAACTGTTCTGATCCGATTAGACCCCGTCTATCCACGGGGAGTGAAGAGGTAATCCTCCTGATAGACGCAGTATCGGGTGTTCAGCCGGTGCTACGCTTGATCTTAAGTCAAAAGGCAAAGAAAAGACGGGACGGTTTGGTTTACTCGCTTTCTTTCCAGCGTTGAATTGGGAAAGCCTGCGAAGCGAGCCCTCCATGGATCTCCTCGGCTCTTCCCTCCACTGCCGATCTTTTTTTCTTGCTCCCTGCCCGGCTGGGGGCCAGAGCGTGACCTCGGTCTGCCCTTTGCGACGCGGTCGGCTTGTGGTTTTGGGCCCCAAAACGCCTGGGACGATGGGAAGCCATCCCCGCTGCGGTTAGCGCTCGGTCGGACGCTGCGGCTGATGCGTCTTCGCCGCTGCCGGTACCTCCCCGGCGTCGCGCTAGCGTTCGAGTGCAAGGCTTATAAAATCGTACGGGCAGAATTAGATCCGTTCAGGGTTCCCAAGCTGAAACGCTGATGGTTGTTTCTCTTTCTCCTAGGGGGAAACGTTGACCGTCCAACAACGGGGACCAGCAAGAACTGAAGCGCTGCTGGTACGTACAGGATGGGGACGACGAACTTCATCGCCCCGGCGCCCTGCCTGGCTTGAGAACCGCCACCCCGCCTTCCGCCGAGCTCCCAGGTCGCACCGGGTGCCGGAAACACTAATCCTCTCGGAAGCGGTTGACTGGGACAGGATGTGTGGACGATGATGATGGCAAGAAAGCAAGATGTTCGCATTCCCACCTATAACATTAGCGTGGTGGGATTGTCCGGGACGGAGAAGGAGAAGGGGCAGTGTGGCATTGGGAAATCCTGCCTTTGCAACCGGTTTGTACGGCCCAGCGCGGATGAGTTTCATTTGGACCACACTTCGGTTCTCAGCACCAGTGACTTTGGAGGAAGGGTGGTCAATAATGACCATTTCCTCTACTGGGGGGAAGTTGTGCGTTCCCTGGAGGACTGCGTCGAATGTAAAATGCATGTTGTGGAGCAGACGGAGTTTATCGACGACCAGACCTTTCAGCCTCACCGCAGCACGGCCCTGCAGCCCTATATCAAGAGGGCTGCTGCGACCAAACTGGCGTCGGCTGAAAAACTCATGTACTTTTGCACTGATCAGCTTGGGCTGGAACAGGACTTTGAACAAAAACAGATGCCGGATGGAAAGCTGCTGGTGGATGGCTTTCTTCTCTGCATTGATGTTAGCAGGGGTATGAACAGGAACTTTGATGATCAGCTCAAATTCGTTTCAAATCTTTACAATCAACTAGCGAAAACAAAAAAGCCCATCGTGGTGGTCCTGACGAAGTGTGACGAAGGCGTGGAGCGGTACATTAGGGATGCACATACTTTTGCCTTAAGCAAAAAGAACCTCCAGGTCGTGGAGACGTCGGCTAGATCCAATGTGAACATTGACTTGGCTTTCAGCACCTTAGTGCAGCTGATTGATAAAAGCCGGGGAAAGACTAAAATCATCCCCTACTTCGAAGCTTTGAAACAGCAAAGTCAACAGATAGCTGCTGCTAAAGACAAGTACGAGTGGCTGGTCAGCCGCATTGTCAAAAACCACAACGAGACGTGGTCGAACGTGAGCCGCAAGATGCAGTCCTCTCCAGAGTATCAGGATTACGTCTACCTGGAAGGAACGCAGAAAGCCAAAAAGCTGTTTCTGCAGCACGTCCACCGCCTCAAGCAGGAGCACATAGAGCGGCGGCGGAAGATGTATCTCGCCATGCTTCCTCAAGCGTTCGAAGCCCTCATCCCGGACCTGGACGAAATAGATCACTTGAGTTGCGTAAAAGTGGAGAAGCTCTTAGAGACGAAGCCGGACTTTCTGAAATGGTTTATTGTCCTGGAAGAGACGCCCTGGGACGCCACGAGCCACATCGACAACATGGAGAACGAGCGCATTCCCTTTGACCTGATGGAGACCCAGCCCGCCGAGCAGCTCTACGAAGCTCACTTAGAAAAGCTGAGGAACGAGAGGAAAAGGGCAGAAATGAGAAGAGCTTTCAAAGAGAACCTAGAGACTTCCCCTTTCATCACGCCTGGGAAGCCCTGGGAGGAAGCGCGCAGTTTCATTATGAACGAGGATTTTTACATGTGGCTGGAGGAGTCTATTTATATGGATATCTACAGCAAGCACCAAAAACAGATTATAGAAAAGGCCAAGGAGGAGTTCCAGGAGCTGCTCCTGGAGTACTCGGAGCTGTTTTACGAACTGGAGCTCGACGCTAAACCCAGCAAGGAGAAAATGGGCGTCATTCAGGATGTCTTGGGTGAAGAGCAAAGGTTCAAAGCTCTGCAGAAGCTGCAGGCTGAGCGGGATGCGCTTATTTTGAAGCACATCCACTTCGTGTACCACCCGACGAAGGAAACGTGTCCGAGCTGCCTGGTTTGCGTAGACTCTAAAATTGAGCACCTGATCAGCTCCCGTTTCATCAGGCCCTCCGAACGCAACCAGAAGAACTTGCTTTCGGACTCCAACATCGACAGGATCAATCTGGTGATCCTCGGCAAGGACGGTTTGGCGCGCGAGCTGGCCAACGAGATCCGGGCGCTCTGCACCAACGACGACAAGTACGTGATCGAAGGTAAGATGTACGAGCTGTCCCTGAGGCCGATCGAGGGCAACGTCCGGCTCCCCGTTAACTCTTTTCAGACGCCCACCTTCCAACCTCACGGTTGTCTCTGCCTTTACAACTCGAAGGAGTCGCTGTCCTACGTGGTGGAAAGCATCGAAAAGAGCAGAGAGTCGACCATCGGCAGGAGGGATAATCACTTGGTTCACCTTCCTCTGACGCTCATCCTCGTTAACAAGAGGGGGGACACCAGTGGCGAGACGCTACATAGCTTGATACAGCAAGGCCAGCAGATCGCGAGCAAGCTGCAGTGCGTCTTTCTGGACCCCGCGTCCGCTGGCATCGGGTACGGCCGTAACATCAACGAGAAGCAGATCAGCCAGGTTTTAAAAGGGCTGTTGGACTCAAAACGCAACTTAAACCTCGTCAGCTCGACCTCCAGCATCAAAGACCTGGCGGACGTCGACCTTCGGATCGTCATGTGCTTGATGTGTGGAGATCCCTTCAACGCGGACGACATCCTTTTACCCATCCTGCAGTCCCAGACCTACAGACCTTCGCAGTGCGGCAGCAGCAGCTCTGTCCTTCTCGAGTTATCCATCGGGCCGCACAAGAGGCGCGTGGAGCTCTCCCTCCTTTCCTACCATTCCTCCTTTAGCATTAGGAAAAGCCGGCTCGTCCACGGGTACATCGTCTTTTACTCGGCGAAACGCAAGGCGTCCCTGGCCATGCTACGTGCCTTTCTCTGCGAGGTGCAGGATATCATCCCCATACAGGTCGTGGCGCTCACGGACGGTTCCATAGACATCCTCGACAACGACTTGAGCAGAGAGCAGCTCACCGAGGGCGAGGAGATCGCCCAGGAGATCGACGGCAAGTTCACCACGATACCTTGTAGCCAGCCGCAGCATAAGCTAGAGATTTTCCACTCGTTTTTTAAAGACGTGGTGGAGAAAAAAAACATCATCGAAGCCACCCACATGTACGACAACGTGGCCGAAGCCTGCAGCACGACGGAGGAGGTGTTCAACTCGCCCCGAGCGGGTTCCCCTCTCTGCAACTCCAACCTGCAGGACTCGGAGGAGGACGTCGAGCCCCCCACCTACAGCCCCTTCAGAGAGGACACGTCCATGCCCGCCCTGCCCAAAGACCACTCGAAGCTTTCCATGGAGCTGGAGGGGAACGACGGCTTGTCTTTCATTTCCGTCATGAGCACTTTTGAAAGCAAGCTGAACAACAAAGTACCTCCTCCGGTGAAACCAAAGCCCCCCGTGCATTTTGACATTACAAAGGGGGACCTGTCGTATTTGGACCAGGGGCATCGGGACGGGCAGAGGAAGTCCGTGTCTTCTAGTAGCTGGTTGCCCACCGAATGCTTCGATCCTTCCGATTACGCCGAGCCGATGGATGCCGTGGTCAAACCCAGAAACGAAGAGGAGAACATCTACTCCGTGCCTCACGACAGCACCCAGGGCAAGATCATCACCATCCGAAACATTAACAAAACCCAATCGAACGGCAGCGGCAACGGCTCGGACAGCGAGATGGACACCAGTTCCCTGGAACGGGGTCGCAAGGTGTCGGTCGTTAGCAAGCCCGTGCTGTATCGGACGCGCTGCATGAGGCTGGGCAGGTTTGCTAGCTACCGAACCAGCTTCAGCGTTGGGAGCGACGATGAGCTGGGACCCATACGAAAGAAAGAGGAAGATCAGACTTCCCAAGGGTATAAAGGCGATAACGCCGTTATCCCCTACGAAACTGCAGACGGGGAGGATCCGAGGAGGAGGAACATCCTGCGCAGCCTGAGAAGGACGACGAAGGTAGGACGGTGCTTTCTGCCCTTCGGTCGTGGGATTCGCGGGGTAGCGGTCGGGACGTGCCGCCAGGGGTAAAGCCTGAACGAGGGCGGGCGCCCCTGCCGTCGCGTTCGTGGCGTGTTTTTCATGTATTTCCCGATTGATTGAGGAGTAAGTTGAGCTCAGAATTTCTTGAAATTTTTTATTGTGTGTTAACTCGCTGCTGGCGTGGACCGCGTGAACTTGCAGTCCTATACCAAAATCACCTCCGTTGTTTCCACCGCGGGTTTTCAGCTCTGACGACTTTATCCTCACGACACACTTCTGAGAAAGCTCGTTCCGCTCTCAGAAATTACGAGTTTCGAGGTACAATTAACCCAAACATGAGTGCTTTGAAATTTGGCCTCATTCTGCCTCGTAAATTCTCTTTAACGTGGATGAACGTAGTAAAGTCACTTGTTATCAGCGTAGAGTCGTTTAAAGAAATGGGGTGAAGCTTGATGTTTCCAACCAGAGAAGACGCTGGTAAGTTGAGGACACATCTAAGCTGCTGCCTGTTGCCACTCTTTGGTGGCTCTTCTCTAGACGTGTCGTGGTGCTGTGCCTCTACAAAACCAACCTTAATTCCACCCAGATTCGCTGCCGCTCTTTGGCACGATGGTGGATCTGCTCTTTAGAGGGTGAAACTGGTTTTGGACAAGCCCAACGGTTTGAAGTGCTCCGTGGTTGTGTAGCCTTTGGACTTCTTGGCCAACGGTTGGCGCGCCAAGTGGCCAGCCTTTGCCCGTTGAAGGCCAACGGTTGGCGCGCCAGCGGCCAACGGTTGGCCCACCAGGTGGCCAGCGTTTGCCCCTTGGAAGGCCAGCGTTTGCCCGTTGGAAGGCCAACGGTTGGCGTGCCGAAGGGCAACGGTTGGCCGTCAAAGCCCCGCAGCCCTGAGGG